AATCCTGTTAAAAAAAAAAAAGAGAGAAAAGAAAACAGAGCAGAAAAATAAAATAAAATAACAGTCTGCTGGAGAATCTAAAAATTGAGAGAGAGAGAGATTTGCAGAGATGGCGTTACTCCAGTAAAACCGATTCGCTCAACAGGTCCAGGTTTTTATTTTATTTTTATCTATTTCTTTCCGATTAGAAGAAATGTAAACTTTTTTTCCTTAATTATTTCTCATTTCATTATCATTATTCCCTTTCTTTTTTGCTGATTATGATTATAAATTTAAATAATAGGAATCAGATTAATCTAGTGGAATAGTTGAAGTTTTTCGGCGAGCTTGGGTTGCGATTAGTGAATTAATTTATATTATTGCATAAAATGGTTGAATATTCTCTCTTTTACCGTTTTAGATGGATTACTGTCTTGGCGGTGAGAGCCCGGCAGTTCTGCAGCTCCATAAATGGGGTCCCTCTCAGTTCAATATGGACTTGTCGGAATTTCGGGAAGGTTTTATATCGCCGACGAGGGAGCTTTTGCTGTTACTGTCTTATCAATGTGAAGCCTTGCTCCTTCCTTTAGTTGCCGGTAAATATACTCGAAAAATCCTTATGTTTCTGTCTTTTGTTACGGTATGCTTTGGTTGTGGTTTTCGTTACATATTGGTTTGTTGTTATTCTGTAATCATTTTGGCAGGGGAATCTGTAAGCAATCGTGTTTCAGAACCTTTGAATGATGAAAGGCTTCAATGTCGATCTTCAGCAGCTTTCAGCTCCGAATCATGGACAGAACCTAGTAGGTCAAGGATGATATTCCATGCACTTGTGCATCAGTAAAGGATTTTGATAATGGTTTTTCTCTTGAACACGAATTTTCAATATCTAATAATTCTCGTTTTGTTTGTGATGTGGATTCAATGGCTTGGGGTGTGTGTGGGGATACTTATAATCAGCACTAGGAGGCTTCATTTAGAGAGTTTCTATTTGTGTCTTGTAGCAATGGTGTTACAGTGCATGCTTTCCGTAAGCCTGATATTGATGGCGGAACAACTAAATCTGCACTTGAGGACGAGTTTGGTCAGGGGAGGTGGGTTGATTGGGGCCCTTCCTCTGCACCAGCTCAAAATTTGAAGGATCGGGGCTCTTCAGGCTTGTGTTCTGAAGGCACATCTACCGTCGTGGCTGATAACAGGGCCAATGGAAATAGAGGAAGTCTGCAAGACATAGATAAGGACCAGTTTTGTTATTAGCGCGATATTATGGATTAATTTTTTTATATAATAAATTAATAAAATTAATAAAAAATTTAAATTAATTGGATTAATCATTAAACTTGAGATCCGTATTATGAAAGTTTGATAACTAAATAGAAAAAAAAATTAATATCAACAAATAAAATAAAAAAATTAATTAAAATGAAAAAAAAGTATTAGTTTTTTCACCGTGGATTGCACTGTGCAGTTCCTAGTGA